ATGGAAATAAAGAACATTCCTTATCGATTTATAACCCACGTAGAAGAATCGTGTTACAGATTATTAGCCGTCGATAATGCGAAACAAAAAGGCGAATCAGGTAGTTCGATATGAGGATCTTGCGCAAGCGATAATCTTCGAGTATCGTATTCTAATCACGCTAAGGAACTAATGAGTAAAGCCAATAACGCGATTTGCTTGATTAGGATACGTCTTAACGGATTGTGATCGAACACGATCGATTCTCGCAGAAAGCCACCGAGGGCAATTCAATCAGATTACTTGACTCTCTCTTGTACCGACTGATGGAGAGCATTGTCTAATTAGATCAATCCTCCGAATATGTCTCGAGGTGAACTCGACACGTAGGCTAGTTATCCATCAGCACACGAGAATAGATCGTTCCGCGTCTAATTCAATCTAACTCCACGGTGTGTGTACCTGGCTCTGTTTACCTTCGACCATAATGAACGATTAATTTTCATGGATGTACAGATACCCCAAATCATGGCTCGTTCAATAGCCATGGGCTATCCCCACTTTCAGGATCAAGGTATTCATATTAGCTCTCTTAGAATCGATTTAGATCACCGATGTTTTGATGGCTATTTACTGACACATTGAACTCGCTGACCTAAATTGAACTTTGTCTTAACGTTGACAAACATCGGTATTTACCAACTTCGAGATGTGATCGCCATTACTTTAAAAACTAGTATGTATCTTCGTCAAGGTACGGTCTTTAAAAAACTGTTCAAGTTTTAGACTTCATACCTAAAATTTTGAGTGTTGAATTTGAACTCTGATGAATTTGAATCGTGACCTGGCTCCGTTCGCGGGTTTTTAATAGCAATCGATCGCAGTCTGAAAGATCACATTTGGCAGACGATTGCTCGCGAAACACTTCGCGACAGGTAGCGACGAACCGCGGCAGGAAACGATGTTCGCGAGCCAGTTTTATCCGCTTTCGGCTCGCCGATGTCTTATTTCCGACTGATAGAAGAGAACGGTATCTAATTTCGTCGACGATCCTTGCCAGGCTCGCGCGAAAATTCCGCGAATAAATGGACGATCGTTCGTCAAGCGTTTACGACACTCGTTGAATCGCTCCGCGCCGGTTTTAATTAACGAAGTACATCGTCGCGTTTCGATATCATCCTTTTTGGCACACACTCGAACGCTTCTATAATTTTCGCGCCTAATAATTTCATTTCCGGACACTGTTGTTTCAGCTGCTTCGATGACCGTAACTTTTAAGCTTTATATAGCCACTTTAGATATCCGCAGTGACGTTTATAATAACGTAACTCGAATGTTGTTCCCGGAAAATGAATATGCAATCACGGAAATTTACATTTAAACGTCGCTTTAAATTCAACTTTTTCGAAGCTTTTATTTCTCGATAGTTTTTAAAACCACCATCATTTTTTGCTAGATAAATTGTTATATTCTTGTACATACAATTACATTTGTCATGTATAAATATTTATATAACATAAAATTCGATAATCGGGTTAATTGGAGAAATACAAAATGGAGCACTGTAACATCCCTGTCTTATCGATCCTCCATTTTAAACTATCTCAGAAGATAACTAATTATCCAACTGATTCATAATTCATGGGCGATCCAAACTAATCAGCGAGAGTATGGAATATTTATAGCTAATTACGTGTCTAGGAATTTTTATCGGAGAAGACTCTGGAGGTGTATCTAATTAGATCGATTCCCGGTGAATTCGTCCTGATGTAACCCGAATACGCAGACGTAACGATTCATCATGGACTCGGTAGAGGTGTTCGCCATTTAACCTGGTTCCCGTCGTTCCGTCGACAAAGACAAGCCTCCGAGGGTGGCGTGCTGATCAAGATTAATCGTATGCAAATTAGCCGAGCGCCGCAAGGAGGATCCCGCGAGATTCAGCAACTTCCACGACGGCAACTCCTGCAGTAACGAAAGATCGAACGTTCCAACCTGGCAAGATTTTGGTAATTGAAAATAGGCCCTTCCTTCGCCTCGACAAATCTTCGACGATTTGCATGGAAAGTCGCGACCTTGTTTCCAATGCAAAGCGCGACTGCGATTCATCGATGATCGATAACGAGACTGCTGCGCTTCGAGACATGCAAATTCTGCATGTCGGAAGCCATTTCCATTTTGGTTTTTCATTTGTGATTCTAGCTGAAACACAATCGGTCCTCTATTAATAGTTAGATTACGTATTAAAATATACACACGCACAATATAATATACAACAGCTAAGAGCAATTTAGGAAAGGGTGTACAGAGAATTAAAAATGTGGCTTAGAGTCAATGTGGTTTTGTCAGAAGATTAAACACTTGACATTTTCATTGTGACTTGTCTTTTTTCGAGAAACAAATTGACGATTCTTACGTAAGCTGTCTGCCGTAAAAGAATTTACGTAAGTATCATTTGAGGTAATTAAAGATAATACAAGATTTTCGATCGCAGCTTTTGTACCAGTTTTCAACAGAAGTTCAGAAAAAGATTTTATTATCCGATTTGCAAGATTTCTTTCTGTCGAAGTTCCGAAAGTTTAAGCTGTGCAAGTGTTAATTCCCGACGAGTGATAATTTCATCTCCAATAGATTCAGCAGAAATTATTGATGTATCGATGATTGGTCGCAAATCGTCTTAATCACGAAAGCAACAATTTTTTTCGGATAAATTGCAGCAGTGACGTCAATAGTGTTATCTAATTGACTGCAAATGAAGACAGTAAACATTCAAATTCGTTTATTATGCTCAATTTCCGATATTCCAGAAATAACTAAACTATAGCGAGATTTGTCTATCATTAATTGCGAGCATTCCTTACAATATTTCTTGTCCAATAACTCGAATCGAAAGTTACGCAATCACGTGATGCGGAAATTTTATTGTTAATCTTCAACCCGATTCTCATCAATCTGAACAATTTTGCAACCGGACAGCATCCTCGTTGCATCTCTCGATGATTAATTTGTCATTCGTTTCCTCCATCGTGCCGTTCCTTTTCCAGCCATTCTTATCAACCGATTACGTAAGCTTTGAAAACGTTATCAGTAATCGTGAATTCCAGTTCATGTTCGTCCCTGCGGCTCACCTTTCCTCTATTACCGTCATTTTCCGAACGTTTCCCGATGAGTCTGCACTTTTACCAAGATTTTCCATTCGATTCGACCATTCCAGCACTTCAGATCTATCGATAAGGCTGATCGTTCTCGATCTATGAGCATCTTTCGAAGGAAATTCGCAAATAAGAACGCTAACTATAACAATCCACAAAATTGACCTATAAGCTACAGAAATTAGCTGCAAAAGACTGCTCAAGGATGCAACAAAAATGGTCAGACTAGTCTAGTCAGATTAGCAAATAAGGTGCTAGGTCAACAGATCGGCTACGTACAAAATTGAGCAAATAATCGTTAGGTAAATTTACGTAAGTATCATTTGAGGTAATTAAAGATAATACAAGATTTTCGATCGCAGCTTTTGTACCAGTTTTCAACAGAAGTTCAGAAAAAGATTTTATTATCCGATTTGCAAGATTTCTTTCTGTCGAAGTTCCGAAAGTTTAAGCTGTGCAAGTGTTAATTCCCGACGAGTGATAATTTCATCTCCAATAGATTCAGCAGAAATTATTGATGTATCGATGATTGGTCGCAAATCGTCTTAATCACGAAAGCAACAATTTTTTTCGGATAAATTGCAGCAGTGACGTCAATAGTGTTATCTAATTGACTGCAAATGAAGACAGTAAACATTCAAATTCGTTTATTATGCTCAATTTCCGATATTCCAGAAATAACTAAACTATAGCGAGATTTGTCTATCATTAATTGCGAGCATTCCTTACAATATTTCTTGTCCAATAACTCGAATCGAAAGTTACGCAATCACGTGATGCGGAAATTTTATTGTTAATCTTCAACCCGATTCTCATCAATCTGAACAATTTTGCAACCGGACAGCATCCTCGTTGCATCTCTCGATGATTAATTTGTCATTCGTTTCCTCCATCGTGCCGTTCCTTTTCCAGCCATTCTTATCAACCGATTACGTAAGCTTTGAAAACGTTATCAGTAATCGTGAATTCCAGTTCATGTTCGTCCCTGCGGCTCACCTTTCCTCTATTACCGTCATTTTCCGAACGTTTCCCGATGAGTCTGCACTTTTACCAAGATTTTCCATTCGATTCGACCATTCCAGCACTTCAGATCTATCGATAAGGCTGATCGTTCTCGATCTATGAGCATCTTTCGAAGGAAATTCGCAAATAAGAACGCTAACTATAACAATCCACAAAATTGACCTATAAGCTACAGAAATTAGCTGCAAAAGACTGCTCAAGGATGCAACAAAAATGGTCAGACTAGTCTAGTCAGATTAGCAAATAAGGTGCTAGGTCAACAGATCGGCTACGTACAAAATTGAGCAAATAATCGTTAGGTACACCGATCATCGAGTACTTGAATGTCCAGTTCAAAAGTCTAGTCGACAAGTAAACGATTTTGAAATCGGTAAGAAGATGCACCGATCATCGAGTACTTGAATGTCCAGTTCAAAAGTCTAGTCGACAAGTAAACGATTTTGAAATCGGTAAGAAGGTACAAAACCAAAGTTCGATCGAGCAAACGAGGGATACAGAAATCGACGATGCAGCTAAACGAGGAAGTGTGACATAAAAATCGGTAAGGAGATCAGCAAATAAGGAAATTTCAGCTAGAAAAATCGGTGTGCAAGTAAACAGTAGGTGCCGAAACGAGCAAACAAGTAAATTTCACGTGCAAAAACGATTTCGATCGTGTTCGTCACGCGATGGGACGCTTTATAGAGGCGTGTGTACAGTTTCGACCCGTGAGCCACGACACTTAAGCGACGAACACACCGTCGGCGTCGAGCAGACTATAGTACACGCACACAGAGACACGGGCACGCAATATGGCAACCGTGGCAGGACGTAGACGATGGTTATACGTAGAAGTTCCAGTGGCAGGGGGTCAGTGTAAAACGGCCTTCTGTCCGTAACGTATCGAACGTCGTTCCATCGAGCGACGCCGATTTTTCGCAGTGTCACTCCGGTTTCGTTTACAAACACCGTTTCGGGACCAGGAGAGGTTGTCTGGGTTGCGCGACAGTGTCGAAACGTTAGGGGGTCATTGTTGATACGTGTCGAACCCGCACCAATCTGGGATAAAATACAAGGTAAACCGATCGAATCAGCGATTTTGCTCGATTTGCACACGTGTGCTCCGAAACTCGCTTTCCAGGCGCTTTCCTTTGTTCCAAATTCGGCGCTCCTACTTGCAGCGCGCCTCTTTTTCTCTTTTTAATTTCACCGCGTGAAATTGCTCGTCGAATTTGGCGTTATCGAGTTCGCGAGATTGTTTACTCAAATATAGCTAGTTCGACGTGCTCGCCGGCAGAGCAGTGACGCTCGGCGTCGTTGACAGAATTAGGCGATCTCTGGTACGTTCCAGAAACGCTGATTTCGTTCGGAATCTTTGATTCGATTTAAACGGAAGTCGATTTCCTATAGGAAACGATTTTAAAATTCAGCCCCGCAATTTCCGTGTTTATGTTTTCGTTCGTGTGCGGCGTCGTTTCCATGGAATTTAAATTTCGACAGGATTGCGAAAGTGGTCGGACGACACGGGAATAGGACCGTGTAAACCTCTTCGATCGTTCGTTGTGTGCGTGACCGGTTCCGTTGGGTCGTGTTTGACCTGGTCGAGCCAGGTAGCACCTGGTATCGCGAACACCGGCTTTCAGCTGTGATTCAAGGATGCACGTCACTCGATTATGCGGCAAAATATCGATTTTCGTGATTCCTCCGACGCGACGAGCTTCGAATTTCGCGCGCTTCGACGCGCCGCCGGTTCATTCGTTCGTTTCAAGATCATCGCTTTTTTTTGACGCGTCGCTAGCGTCATCGGACGACGAGTCGGGAGATAATCGACATTTTGGAGGACTTAAAAATGCAACACAGAGGTCGTTTGCGTGCGAGAACTGGGTGGGGAGGCGCTGTTACAAATTCCTCGATGATAAACGGAACGCTATATTTGTTTCCAAAATTTTATTTGCTTCTTTCGTTTGCGATAATACATCGTTTGTTCGCTAATTTCACACTAGATTTAGCAATTAGTCAGACCTCAGCTTTCTTAATTTTACATTACAGAATTTATCTATTCGTTTGATTTTTATTAAGAAACACAGAAAAGATGAAATTTGAAATATTTAAAAAATTGTTTTCTGTGTTTGAACTTTCGTAGCACGTGATTTCCCGATATATCTGCTACTTTCCACAGTTGAAAATATTACCGACACATCGATCCGCGAAGGTGGTAATCTTTCGCTATCAGTTTCCAAGGATACAGAAGAAAAGTTTCATCGATTTATCCAGGAATATATGACGCGGTTCGCTGTACAAAACGCAACAGATGTTTTTCAAATACCGTGAAATGTTGGCGGCGCATTCCATTCGATTCAGAATCGGGTACGTGATCCTTTACTCGTTTCGAGCGTGTTTACGATGCTTTCCCCACCTCTTCCCCGATGTAAAATTGCAATTTGTACGATTCGATTCTCGCAAATAGAAGCCAGACGATTGCGTGTGTGACCACACGTTCCTGTTCTCGTTTCGTTACACCGAACACAACGTTCTCCCGGCTATTTCGCGAAACATTTCAAAATGGCCGGCACGCAAACGCGATCCGTTTATGCACGAAAAATCACCTCGAAATCGCAGGATAACTCGATGCTTGAAACAGAGGAGATTACCTTGCCGGCGTACGCGTTTATCTCGAGACCCACAAATCTTACGTCAGTTCGATAGCAGGGTACAAAGGTAGTCGCACGCCAGCTTCGAAATCTAGCAGCTGAACCGCCATTATCTTAAACCCATCGTACATTACGAACAGCGTAGCCGTCGAGTGATTCGTCACTCCAGGTTTTTGCTATTCCTTCAAATTTGCAGGAGGTCTATCCTCGGACTCTGCACGATAGATCACGTTTACGTTGATGCTCAAAAAACAGGAAGAAACATTCATCGTTTAAAAAAAGTCTTTACACGAAGGTCTTCGACCAAGCGCCGCCGTCGATCCTACTGTTGCTTGTCATCGGAAAGCATTATCTGTTGCCCCACTCCGGGTCAGACATCTTGGCTACATAACCGCTTATTTCAAGGCCTAGGCAGGATGACGTCAGGTCATCATCCGACTGCATATCCTCGATATATGCAGTCGCTTTCACGATTCGTATTGCTAAATTATGGCCGCAGGATACTTTGAATATTTCGCGGTAGGTTGACTGTGAGTTCAACCGATGTAAACGAAAAAATTTATGCACATTGTAGAGTGTAGAGCTTAGAGGTAGTCTGTGAAGATTCTAGAATGTGGAGGTCTATCCTTCAAAAGTCTAGGGTTCAAAGAAATCTTAGATCTAGGTAAAGTCCAGAAAGGGTGCAATTTTATTTAAGAAATCAAACATGTTACTAAAGTTTGGTTAATTCTCGAAACTCCTTCCGCGTAAACATGTCTGAAATCAGCATATAGCTCGAAATTACGTAAGTGGTTTCATTATGCGAAAGACAAGGCGTTATCGTCGGTTCACCTGCAATCAACAGCAGTAAATGAGTCCAATCGTACGGGTCGTTTGAACGGGAACACGTGGGCATCGTCTATCCGGGCATTGTCATTTCCGACGGATGAATGACCGCATATTTTCCGCGCGGATCCCAGTTTCCCGTGGGGCATCGTTTCATCGGGAAAACGTGTGCCGCATAGGAACAGAAATTGCACGTATTCTCAGAGTAATGTATGACCGTGTTTTAGAAATGTCGATAAAAGTTGAATTTTCACGATTATACAATAACATAACCGACATAAACAATTTTCTGTACCTTCGGAACTGCGAGCAAGGGTTTAAGTAGGTTTTTTCTGCGAATGACACGTATATACGTTCACGGGAATTTATTGGCGATACGTTCGCTACCAGCAGCCCGTTACAAAAACATTCTTTACAGAGTAGAGTGCACCAGGAAATAAATATACCTTTACCTAGGAGAAAAATTTGCTATCGAACTCTGGTGATAATTTTTATTTTTCCATATCTGATCTATCAAGAGCGGATCTTTGTGCTGGTTCGAAGCCAGAAGTACGGACAAAGTTCTCAGTATTTTCCGATTTTAGAGTTATTTCACGTACGCGTAGATCCCTTTGATCGGATCAAAAATAAACGCGTTCCGTTTGGAGCATGCAGCGACGACGAGAGCCCGAGGCCACGTGTACGCGTCAGGGTCGATCGGAAAGTTCCAAGATCTCGCTCGAAGGCGTCGTTTCATTTGAATGCGAAACGTGTTACGTTCTCGAGAAGTTCCGTTCGAAGTTACCAGCACCAAATAATTAACGTTTACGGGACATTTAAGAGATTACGCTAAGCAAAGTTGCTTTCACCGCGTACACGCTGTAAGCCCGAAACGCGACGTGACGGGATAAAACGCGTCGCTTGATGGATTAATCGAACGATCGTTTGCGCAGATTATCAAGCTCACCGCCGTCCACATTATTGGTGAAAATTATTTACAATAGAACGGCCAATATTTTGCGAAATAATGAAATTCGGCGAACGACGAGGCTACGGTCCGTTTCGCGGGAAATTTATGTATATCCTGTGTTTCGACGTCGATGCATCATTTTCTACCGTGACAAGTAATTACGCAGGCTTTTGCCAGAGAAACGCGTCGATCGTGCCTACCTTTGAACGAGCGCGTTCGCGCGTTTAATTCGATATTTAAAACCGCTACCGCGTGCAAGCATCGCGAAAGGAATAAATTAACGGCAAGCTATGTTGTGATTAGCTGTGCCTTTTCCCTGTCAGAATCGCTTTGTTTATCCGGTAATGAGCCGCTGTTTCGCTAATCCGGATAAGATTATAGACGATAGGTACGTTTCTTAGGAATCCAGGTTACTGGAGCGTTCGATTTTTAAGTATCGCTCTTTTACCACGAAAAATTATTCGACGAACTCATCATTTATTTCAAGATTCTTGAAAGCATGTTTCACTATGGTTCGCAGCTGTAATCGAGCACACCGGTATAATGTTTCAGTGATTAGGGATGTGGTCAGGTATAATTATCGCAGAAACATGCTCTTACAAGGTAGAATGTCGGCTCAAATTATCATTGGCGTAATTAACGAATATTAAATTTAAAGCGTAAACGTGTAACTTTATTACATCGTTCAATTATTTCGCCATTTGCTAATTGATGGAGGTCTATACTGGCTCTCGAATTCTTACCATTGTCTCGAAAATGTAGGTAGAACGATCGAGGCACAAAGCGAAATGCATTATACAAATTTCACAAGAAAGTCTGCAGACAATTCACTTTTCAACTGAAACTTACGTCGCGACGTTATTGCGAGCGGAAAGCTCGTCGTCATTTTCGCGACGAGTAATAACGGCGTTCCCATTAGCGAAAGGAAGGACGCGGCATTTTTATCTACCTCGGTACGCGTTATCGTTATCTGTTATAAGACGACCAAAAAGCCGTGAGCGCGAATCGGATACAGGCAGATCTTCAAGGCTGGATCTTCTGCAGGATGTAGAATCGAGGCGTAAAAACCGATCTATCGGTCTGTACGTTGGCGACCCTGAGGCCAATGGCAGCTCGATCTTTAAGATAAATGCTTGAAAATATTTCTCAGAAGAAACCAATTTATCACGGAAGAATTGCAAATTTTTATACTTTGAGCTATTGAGTGTTTTCGATACGAGAAGCGTTTAATTGGTTGCTCGGTGTCTAACCAGTAATCCAGGAACATTTTGGGAAGGTCGCTTATCGAAATGTCCACGGTGCTAAGTAGCATGCCCGGAAAATCGATACGGTTCTCGGAGTCGCAACGGATGCGTCATAGAATCGATAAGCGGATTCCTTGGGGGAGAAATCGCGTAGCCCCGTTGTTCAACACGCTCGTGAACGCCGCGTGTAATGTATGCTGATATGCACGCTTTAGCATAGCTGTCGTTCGCACTTTTTACCTGGCAACGTACCGTTATTACGTTCCAGCATATCAAATGGTCCATTTCGAAATACAAAAGTCACACACAATTTCGTAACGTAAAAGTATACCACAATAACACTTCTGGCATACAACTTTGAAGCTTAAACTTTAATGAAAAACTCTGCAAACATTTCGTCTATCTTTAATACCTGTTGACTGTTATATCAAACATTGAACTTCGTGCGATTGAAGCAACATTATAAAAAAGTCGTTCGCAATTTCGTGATGTAAAAGTATCTCAGGTTTCAAGCTTAAATTTTAATGAAAAACTGTGTAAACATTTCGGCAATATCTTTAACATGATTGACAGTTATGTCGAATATTGAAATAAATTTTGCTTGAATATTATAAAAAAGTCGTACACAATTTTATGGCATAAGAGCGTCTCAAGTTTGAATCTCAAATTTTAATGAAAAACTGTGTAAACATTTTGGCAATATCTTTAACATGATTGACAGTTATATCGAATATTGAAATAAATTTTGCTTGAAGCAACATTATAAAAATGTACACAATTTCATGACATAAAAGTATCCCAAAATAGCACATGTAATATATCAATTTGAAGCTGAAAGTTTGTTGCAAGTGTTTCCACAAATATTATATCGCTATTCTTAATACAAAATGGCTGGTTGCCAGTTGTAGCGACACCGGATCTAACAATGAGTACACAGGTTAAGGCGTATGGAAAACGTCTGGCACAAATTCATCACATAAAGCTATCTCGAAATAGCACTTATGGCAATTGAAGCTCGAGCATTGACGAATATGTCTGCATGGATGGTCCAATCTCCTTAAGACAAAATGACTTGCCGATTACGAAACGTATTCAAATATAATTTCATGACATAGTCCCATAATAGCATTTGTGTCGTATCAGTTTAAAGTTCAAGGTTTAAACTGTGCATGTTTAATATAAAATTAAATTAGTTGAAGTTGTAGATTCCAAAACATGTCACGAGATAAAAACATAGAAAGCCCTTTTAGTAATCTTCATCGTCCGTTATCGATATCCTTGCATAATTTTAGGCGGATCGATGTCTGAGTTCCGTGCGCGTCCTAATGGTGCAGCTTAGTACACGTGGAAGGGCAACCTCTATAATTCGTGTTCCGTGCATGTATGCAGCGAATAAGGCGACCAGAAAACAAGCAGAGAAAACGATCGGTCGTCTAGTCGAGTCGGTGCTCTCGAACGATTCGTTTCTTGTCTTAAATTTGTGCGGTTTATCGATTATCGACGCGTGGGTTCAACGCTTGGACGATCGAGCGCCAGGTGAACTTTCGTTGTTCTCGTTTCTCGGTGACCGGAATCCTCCTTCCCGAAGAATACGTCGCTTCGAATTTCGCTTCAAGTTTGCGGCCGGTTTTTTAGCAGAGGTATACGTGTTTACGAAACGTCAGCGCGACAACGGAAGCCTTCGATAAATCTTAAAATTCTGTTTCGCCGAAGAAACTTCGTGAAAATCCAGTCGACGGTTCTGTTTTCTTATCGTTCCACGGTTTCTTGGAATATCAAAGTTTCCGAGGCGTTTTCTTGCGAAATACCTTTTCCTGCGATCGTTTAAATTGCAGAATTTACTGCGTTCGATGATCAGAAACCATTCGTCGATAAGAAAGTAAAACATTCTACATGATTTTCTGAATTTAATTTTTACGATCAGCAAAGTCTCCACATTTTTCCAGCAACCTTCAGCAGTTTATCTTTTTAGGCAAAAAATATTGTTTCGTGACTTATAAAACGTAGTTCTAGAGTTGCGTTCTTTTAACGCGTATTTAAAGGCGCGTGTCCTTGGTATCTTGCAGTAAGTAATAACTTTTCCAACCTGACCCAGATTTAACCCAGATACAATGTAGTCAAGGTGTTAATCGAGTAATCTTTCTTATTTGAATATCAAGTGATCTGACTTTTCGTAGCCATTGGATCAGATTGGGATAATTTTTTTCCAAGTATTTCGTGTGCTTAGAGCCCACAACGGTTTCGTCCCTCCACGATCGATTCTATCGCAAGGAAAGGTTAGATCGGTGTGCGTGCACCTTTAAGTACACAGCCTGGAGATACACGATCGATCGTAGCAGAGGTCGACGTACTCGCGTTAACTTTCATAGAATTTATTGTCCTGTGCTAAGGAGCTAACGATTCGAAGTACTGCGTGTTTTTCGATCGAAGAAGGTCAATTAGCGGTAAAATTTGTTATGACACGCGACAAAAAAGATTCCAATGAGAAAATGTTAAACGGTGCACTGGTTACAGTAGTCGCGAATTCGACGTACATGGTGTTGAAACATTAGCTGATTTATCGATCGACGGTGCAGTTTGACACCTTAATTTTTTAGTCAAAAGTTCTGCTAATAATAATAGCAGGTATTCTATTTCTGCACAAAATTCGCCGTTAAGAACGTTCACCATTTTAAACGTTAACGGATTAAGATAATCAAACTCTTCCCCGTTAAAAGTCCGTGTTTATTCTCAAGAAGCTTGCATAATGAACAAATTTATGAATATTTAAGTACGAAATGCACTTTTCCATTTTGCATTTTATGTTGCGCGATTTAAGTGCTGCGAATGCACTTTTACGCTCTGTATGCATCAGCTACAAAAGCCGTGTAGTCCGAACAGCAATAAAACCGTCTTACGCTTATCAAAAGAAAAGGAAGCCGCACACGCAAACTTCTTCAAATTATTTTTATAACCTACTAAATTTTGCTTGCTGTCACAGTAAAAGTGGTCAGACACGTTTAACTCTTTATATTTCCATTATGCAGTAATTTAAAAATCTATTAAAAGTTAAAAGTCTGTTAAATTATCGTTACCTAAAATTTGAAAGAAGAAAAGTGGAGCAACGACTTCCGTTCGTTATTAACCGGATACGTAGCTCGATAGAGACGTATCGTTCTGCATACGTATTGAAAGATTCTCGAAAAGGAGAAGAGATCCTTCGGTGCCTCTTTGAACGATTCTCGATGTCTAGACTCGGTGTATTTCAGCAGCCCGAGGCGAGGTGGCGTCTGAATTCCTCGCTCGAAGGGAAAACTGAAATTCGCGCTAGTGCACTACGAAACTCCATTTCTTTTCTTTTTTCACCCTCTCTCCCGCTTACTACGACTCGTCGCGATACGAGGGAAAAGTTTCGAACGGCTGCAGCCTCGAGGTGGTGGCGAGCAACGGGATCGGGATGATTGATAGCGGGCGAGCGTGTGCAACTGGTATCGCGATTCTAGAACAGAAATATGAACTGGATGGAATAAAATTCGCTATTGCAGTCGGGACAGTCGTTGACCCACGATTCAGATGCAAATGCGAAAGTTACACGCGTTTCCGTTCCGTTATTACCCTCCCAACACGATCGAATACATGTTATTGCTACAATTCTTCCCGCCCAATCAAATAATTATTTAATGAACCGTGCAAACACTTGTAATAATGTTCCCGCTTTCATACGGTGTTCACGTGGTTAATAGTAATTTCGTTGCACATCAATTACATTTGTATCGATATTTTCCAGCTAGTTCACAAGTGCGAGCACAAAAACGCCTGTATCTTTAGTAATTTATATTATCGTGCGCTGTAATCTTCCCTGGTGGTATCTTTAATCTGTAACATTTTTTTCTAATTTATCTAGCGATATCTACTTGAAAAAATGGAACTACATTATGTAACCATCACACGATATTAAGGTCTGGGATACCGAATGAAACGCACGTTTAATTTCATTGCGAGTTCCTTCTTACTAGTCTTTTATACAGAAGTATGTCGATGTAAATAAATAATATATTCTACATGAATGAACTTCGGGAAAGGGAATTTTTATCGATCGTTACGAGCGCTAATCAAGCGGAACGTTAGTCAAACACGGGTTCGGCAATTATCGAATTCCGCGGCTTAACGCGTTGATTACAAGGTCCGAGATAAAATTTGCCGAGTATTTTTTGCAAAATTGTCGCGGGTGCTCCTGATTCCTTCTCGTGACGTGATCGTGTGTTTCTCGGAAAGCGGATTATTGACATTGGCATTTTTCTGTTTGCATAGGCTGCTGTGCTCGTTAATGGCTGCCAGGGTCGTCGGCTAGAGGCCGTTTAAAGAAGTTTCGAGCTGCCAGCGCGCCAACACAGCCTGTACCCGATGAGTGTAAGTATAAATTGATCTGCGTCATTAGACTTCTCGCCTAACTCATCCTTTTCATTCGTTCCACTTGTAAATTTCTAGGAAAAAGCTTCCTAATTGATCACCGTTTTTCGATCGTTTAGAACGTTCTCGTCGATGACTTGTTGGCTCTTCCTTTATCGTATTTCCGCGTTTCGTGTACACGAAGAATGATTCACGACCTTTCCACCCGTTCCTTACGATAACGGTTAATAAAAACACGCGTATTTTTGCACCTATTTCGCCGAAAAACGAGAGCTTTCTGACGATAGGACGAAAGCATTAGTCACTCTGCTTTTTTAATAGAAACGGATCAATGTGTCTTGTCAGTATTTTAGGATTATGACGATTCTGTTTTGCGAGCGTGGGCTCTCGTTTCGTGATTATTCGATCCTTTGGCAAACAGAGTATGCTATAATTTTCGAGAAAGAACGAATTTCTTTAACGAAAGACAATTCCACGGATCGAGTAGCTCAGTGTCGACGGTCTTCGTGTCGAATTAAAGCGAGCCGTCGAATTAAGTCCAATAAAACGTAGTCGTTTGTGCGTTCGAGGCGTGTTCATTTAGCTCGGTTAAATAAATGATCGGATTCAGAGTCTCGCCGTATTAAAGGCATCGCGTAAATTAATTAGAACGATCGTTGCGATTACGTCAGTCGACGCAATATCGCGCCACTTTAGGAACACAAAAAAGGACAAAGCTTCTCGATCGATAGTGATTCATGCCGACTGTATAGAATTTTTATTGAAGCTTTATTTGCAGGTTAGATCGGTGGCCGGTCACATGGTGAAGCAGAGGAGGTTTATCGGCAACACGAACAACAAGATGATCAACATACGAGAATATTTATAGGCATTTTTAGGTGGAATCATCAACTCGTGTTGAAAAGAGAGATTGTTTCGATCTGCATGTCGAGGAAGGTGTGCAGAGCCTGGACGTAACCGGTCACGTTTCGAGAACCGACCGATTGTAAAACGTGTACTGCCAGGTATATCCGGAGTGAATGTAAAATAAACGATCTATCACGGTAGATATTTCAGAGGACGACAGGAGCGGCGCGTTGCTACGCGTTCCTCTAGCTATGGTCAGCCTGACACGACCTGATTTCCTGTTTTACGTAACTCGCAAGAGATGTTTGATTTTCACGCGCAGGTAAGTGGCTGGTACTCGTGTCTCTATATTCCAGAACAATCTACTGAATATTCGAACACAACACGCGTGTCATTTGTCGAGCACACTTGCAGTTGCCATGCAATAAACTTTGCTAGGAAAAATCGCGATGTAAACGCAAAAAGTCCTATCGTAATGAATAACTTATTAACTTGAAATTTATTTCTGACGTTATTCGTCATGCACGGCTTAACAAATAATTGACACTATTAATGTTTCAGATTCATCGAATCTAGAAAGCTTGTGGTAAAAGCGTGTTAAAGCAGTGGAAACCGATACCGATTTTCGAAAAATAGAAGACGAGGTTGAACAAAAGAAACATGAAACACGCACATCGAACGATTCAAAGTTGATCTAGTATCGGTTCATGTATCAGGAGTGAAATCGTGCTTTGTTACACAGGTACAGATACTTTCTAATGCTACGATGGTTGGCAAAGAGGAATAGATTTTTCACGGAAGGCATTCTCTGATAGAAGAGAGGCAAGTTAATCGCGAATCGTAGTGAAAGTGGATACTCGTCGTGTGATTACGTACCGGGAACGTTCGTCCTCAATCGGCCAGACACGATGGAAAATTTCATAGCTCCAGAGAATTTATACTCTTTGCCTTAAAGGGGCACATTTGTTCACTGAGAATCTCTTTTTCAATGTTTGCTTCAAACGATTTATTTTTATTCTTGGAAATATTTTTGTTTTTGTTTAAAAGATTCGTGCAATTGGAATTTGAACATGTCTGCATTTTATATCTTGAGAATAATCCCTGATCTCTAGGTACCAATTAGCAATTTTTTAAAAATATTTATATTCTTGGAAGGATCATTTTTGACCTCGTTTAAAAGATTCGTGCAATTAGAATTTGAACATGTCTGCATTTTATATCTTGAGAATAATTTCTGATTGCTAGCTACATCAATTAGCAATATCTTTAAAATATTTATCTTCTTGTAAGGATCATTTTTGTTCTCGTTTAAAAGGTTGGTGCAATTAGAATTTGAATACGTCTACATTTTATATCTTGAATAAATTTTTCCTACAGCAAAAGTCATTTTATGAAATCGTTTAAAGAATGGTTTTAAGAATAACATTTGTTAAAATCTTTAAATTCTTGCGTCGAGTAGCTTGAAAAAAAATGGTGGTTCTAAATAAAAAGTGAGGAAAAGAGTGGGGATAAATTTTGTAAGTTACAATCGTTTCACGGTTGGAAAGCAGAGACGCCCGTTTTGCGTCAACGCGATTTTCATGGAATTTGAAGTTTGGTGAGAGTGTCGAGAAATGGATATTTGGAATAGCGTAAAAGGTGCGAAGAAATATATGCGAGGAATATGTTCGTTCATATTTCATGCACAAGATACTATTGGAAATGGTGTTCGGTCGCGATTTTGAGTCAGTTGCCAAGACATCTTCCTTCTAAATATCGGTTAACGTCGAGCTTCTTATTCAATGACACTTTGTCATCGTTTAAAGCCGACTGGCGAATGTCATTCCGATTGATCTACTGAGACAATCAGATTTCTGAACACTTTTTATTGACTTATTAAGAACGGAAAATAACGCAACGGAATTTCTGAGGTGCAGATATTTTCATTCATCTGAAAAGTGTTCCGTTCACAGTGATAAATGATAATGTACCTTTTCAAATTACATTTGTTCCATTACTTGTCATGATACATGTAAGCCATAGTGTTGTACGACGAAAAGTACAAGGCAGAAAATTCGGAATTTACGATCGCAATTTCGTGTGTCGCCTTAAAAATACGGTGGTAATAGACTGGAAAGTTTCAACGACTAAAGTCTTGCTGAATTAACTTATTTATATTTATATTCGTGTAACATAGAATTAAGTCCCATCAAATCGATGTAACTAATTTAAAAATTCTCTTTGCAGGTTTTTTAGGTATAAAAGAATAAAAAGGACGAACAAAAGAATTAGTGATATAATTTCTTCCATTGAAGGGATAAAAAGTATAATTAAAGAAAGAAATTTCCAGATAAATACTCAAAGAGATTTGATAATTTATTTGTATACTCGAGCGCCGTAATAGGCAGACATTCTTCGAAAATGGTAAGTGCTATTCGTCTTCGTTATTTATTCTACATTTCATATAAAGCGTGTCGCTTCGGAAAAAAAGCGTTGTCATTCATTTTGGAAACTCACGCGAGAAACAGGCTAGCGTTTTCTGCCGTTTTCAGCGTAAAACGCGTCCCGGGTTTCGGCGTAAAAGCATCGCTAAAAAACGAAACAATAATCCTGGGAAAAAGAGTCACGAGGCTTTCATTGAAGCGTTCAATTTATATCAGCGTGAACGATGGCGTTTGCAGTTACACAATTGCATCGACGTCGAGGCATCTCGCCTCGGCCCATCGCGTTTAATTATAATTAATGAACTCGACCTACGCGGCTCGGATTTATTTTCGAGCCGGCGACGATCCTTTACAACGTTTTAAAAGCTTCCTTGTGATTCTCATTCGCGCTTTAACCTACTACCGATATTAATGCCTCGCTCGAGTTCAACGTTAACGCTAGAACAACCAAACTAATTTGCATTAGCTTACAAACTTTTACTTTTAGATTACACTGCTCTTCTACTACATTACCTTAATATTTTACTATTTTTACGAGTCAACATCTTGTACATCCACTGTTTACTATTTATTTTTCTACTTTTCATTTAAACTTTTGATATCAGTTTGATACAAAGTATACTTGCGTCTTGAAATAAAACCGAACAGTATCGTTAAATATATCTTCAACGTTCGGTTATTTTAGCGTTGACCGGAAGTGCCAAAGAAAAATTCTATGACACTAACCTCGTCAAAAGTTATGCATACACAGTCACGACTCGTAACTGTTTCCGGCTGATTCATTGGTTAATTTGAGCGACCACGGAATTCCGTTGTGTATTCCATATGCTGCCGGAACACGACGTCTTATCTGACTCTCTCTGCCAAGTTTGTTGCAGTTAATAGAATAGCCCTGAGCACGTGGATAATTGAGTTTTGTTTTGTTAGTAATTGCTACGGAGTTCATTCACGAAGTTTGATATCTCAACGCATTGGCAACTATTCGTGGCTTTCCTTATTTCATGAACTGGCTATTTAACGTTCTCTCAACTTTGCTTTATTAAAAATATTCTTTAATCATATTATTTGTTAAAAGTATGAATATTGAAGTGTCAGATTATGAAACATAAAACATCAGGTACAATTTTGTGACATAAATGCAAAATAATGATACATCAATGGTACAGCGATGTGAAGATTAGGATATACGGAAGAAGGCTATGTAGGCTCAATACAAAATGGCTGCCGCAAGCGCAACAAGTACGAACGTTTTAAGATTCAATGTACACTTTTCTAATTTTATGTACATTGTGGCAGAGTATGAAACAATTTTTTACGAATTTAGTTCGTAAACAATATTTAAACATTACAACGTTGTACTTCCATCAATGTTTTAGTAGTTTTAAACCATTAAAGTGAAAAAATGAAATAGTACTCGTGGTTAGAAGTTTCCTAGAGGCAAGAATAATTTCCGTATCATTAAGATTCCGAATATCGAGCAAAAAGAGTCTTTGCTTGTGGAACAGTACACGTTTGACGCAGCGTAGTCGCGCGTTTGACGATCTTTTAAAAATAGTTCGGTGTCTATTTAACAGCAGGTGGAAACGAAGGCGAGAAAGATAAAAGGCGCGGGTCGTCTTTATTCTTTTTATTCCGCTTTGGCCGCGTTTCGCGGAGAAAAAGACGGAACGCGTGACAATAATGCGGAGGAAATGAGGGTGACCCCGATCCGAAACGCAAATGAAGCCGCTTCACAGCGAACTGAACCCGACCACGTGGAAAACTCGTGTTAGTCAGCGGTTTTCCATATCTCTCTGGCGACCAGCGCCACGATTTTCCGCGGTCGCATGATTAACCCGCCCCCCGAAACGCTGCAACGACGAAGAATAATTAGCGGTGATGCGATCCATGAAACTCGTATTAATCGGTTCGGAAATAATGAATGTAACACTCTGTACCGATTAAGCAGCCAGGAAACAGATACGGAAATTGCGCTCCTGTCATAATGTTGTTCAACGCGTTCATTTACCTCTGTCGGTGAATTAATTCTCATTTTAATAAACCTCGCTCATTTAATGACATTCGGTTTATTTTATTAAACTTTTACGTACTTCGGAAAATTGCAAGGTATTAACAAGATTAATACCTTGATTGAAGATTAACAAGCCGCAGTAGATACGGACGGTTTTGGTCAGACATCGACTTTTAGATTGATCCACAAATTTTTTGATACCATGTTTCATTCAATACTGTTTTTAATAGCAATTTAAGTGGGAAATTCAAATGACATGCATGCTTTTATTACGAATATTCGTTACTTAATTTAAAAAACATTTCTCGATATCGCTAGGTAATGCGATTCATCTCCCACAGTACTGTGACAAGCATAACCCAATTCTATTCACAATATTTCAAACATCAATCATGTAACACGAGGTCGGAGTAAAAACGCACGTGGTGTGGAACTTATTAGCGCGAGGGAGAGCAGCATTCAGATTGAAATAATAATAGCGGAATGAGAATTCGAGGATTATCTTTTAGTATCGTATTTATGGCAAGCATGGGTGATCGCAGTGAACGCGATCAATGAAAGAGTAAAGTCGTTAAATTCAGATTGCTATTTCTCCGAGTTTCTCGCCTCGGTAGTTGTCCTCGCGTTAATCCGAAAATATCGAGGAAATAACGCGAATCGTGCGGATCGTGATCGAACACAGAGGGCCCAGGGGCGAGCTTTTGTTCGATGGAAGTTTTCGTTTCGCCGTGCAGCCGAAAGTTATGATTGCTCGGTCGCTTCGATAAAAGAGAAAGAAATAATGGATGACCGCGTGGTCGAGGAACGTTTCAGCCGTACTCGGAAGATCGAGCGTTCGTTTCGCGATAACGACAATGATTTTCGTCGGTGCGCGGGTTAAGCAGCTCCGTAAAATATCGTCGACCATCAATTCGTCCGTTTTCATTGCCAGCCATTTTTCACCGTTGTAATCCGTCAATAAATCCTGCAAGAAGATAAACTGCTGCCATGGTCCGTTACAAAAATGGAAGTATCGTCACAGGGGGTTGACGAGTGAAAATAAAAAAAAAACGCTACAGCGTTCTCATCGGCCTTTTACTTATTCGTTCCTCCATTGTTATTCCTTTCGTTTAATTTGTTATCTTTATTTTTTAATTTCTCTCGAACAGAATATCGAACAATTTTTTTTTGTGGTCAACCGCGAGACAGAATTGTGCGATACTACAGAATCTCGGTTCTATTTTTGATTTACTCGACACGGTTTACGAAAGCCTCGCTTGAAACGTACGCTGTATTTTTGGCCACCTTGGGTTTACTTAACGGAACGAAATCGCGAACGTCGACTTCAGCCAGACTCTTCATATCGCTTGGTTTTCGCTTTGAAAACTTCGTCTCATTAAATGGCTTACTAACCGAAAGTGCTAAATTAAGAGGGAGGTATTAAATAGACACGAAATAATTGATCGTAAGCTGATTATATTCGGGAGCAGACTTTCTGAAGATAAGGGAAGTTCGGTTAGACATAGAGAAATGGTGAGGGATCAGAAATCCATCCTAGAATCTATCCTTAAAAATCCTACATTGCATCTGACAACCCTTAGTAGACCATACTTGACACATTGACCACATTGAACGTACCTATACGTACATATACGTCAATAATATAAGGTAACTCTGTAAGCGAACATATCCGTAAGCTAACATCTAGTACCCAGTACTCGAAGGATTAAATTAGAAGCGATGAACATTGACTGCATCAGAATCGTTCGTTAAACGATGTCAATGAAAGTCGACCTAGGCGTATCGTTTACAATGAATCGATCGATCTGAACCGGACTAGTCCAAGTGTCATGATTTCATTCGGTTACGGAATGCGTTCGCGTTTCAAGCAGTTAAGGGGAGTTCGTGTCAGGGTCCGAGTTCTAAGATGCGTCGGGTGTCGCTGATCGAACGTCGTCGGGTTCGAGGTCCCCGAGAGGTCGAGTTTCGACGGTCGATCGTTCAAGAATGGCTTCGCGTCGGACGTCGGGATACGCTGTCTATTTCTGTCCGTGCGTTGACTTCGTTTGAATAATTCACGCTGATCACTGCCGGAATCAACCGCTTTTGCTATTTAACAATCGTTAGCGATCGTAGCAGCGGAGCGTCTATAAATAGCGGGCAGTCGATTTTTAGGAATATAGCGGACTTGTTTTACGCGCTTCGGTCCAGATAATTTAATACCATGATCCTTGACACGAATCGTTTTTCGTACAGAGATGGGCTTTCGAAAACTCGCGAACGAGCCTCGTCGTGGATCGAGTATTTTTGGAACGCGAAACCCTGACAGAGATGGATACCGAAATTTCGTGAACGATTAAACGCCATTTCATGTAGGGTCGTACGTTTTTGGGACACGTTCGAGTGATAGATACGGAGCAATATGCAGTTACAGAGTGGTATGTCCAGCTAGAAAATTCGTCATTGCTCTTCTGGAGGTTTGGTTCATTCTCGAGGAACCCTCACCGTATTCAAAAAAATTCGACAGATACATCCCACTCGCAGAAACGAAATCATGTTTAATGCGTTTGAAAATAATTCCAAGGCCGATAAATTGAAAACTGTTGACACGTTTTTTGTTACTATTCAAACATCGATCTTGTGTACTCAGACTCGACATACTACGTTTCATAATTTGCTTTTTAAGCAATCTGTATGGTGATTCATTGCCATGATAGCAGATAATGGCATACTCGAGATGCTTGATCTTAAAGTACTGGAACCAAAGGTATATCGGACGTTTCCTCATTGAACACGATTCTACGAATTCCGCAACTCACGGAACAATGAACCTTGTACGATTCTCCCGTAATTCTCCGTAAATTATCGAGTGGAGACAGTGTCGTGCCATTCATCATCGAGCTGTAGACACGACGTATAATCCGTCCTGTTGCAAACACATCGCGTAAGTTGGAAATACGAGAGGAATAATTGCTCGTGGTCCCCCGTTC